CAGCAGCAGCAGCAGCAGCAGCAGCAACAGCAGCAGCAGCTTCCTTCCTCTGTCCTTAACCGACTGTACCTCTACTTAGAAAATAAATTCATCCACACAGTTGTCTAACAATGAATGGGAATTCCACAGACAGAAACAGGCTGAGGTCACTTCTGCTTTGACAGTCTTGTTTTTTTTAATATTTTTTTAATGCTGCTCCCCGGGTCCTTGATGCTGCCCACTGTTCTCTTTGGTGATGGATTAAAAGAAAGGGTCACATTTGGTTGTGTGCTGTGGTGTGCACACGATGAAAAATAATTCACTTTCCTTTCCTTCCTTCCTTAGTTATTAAGGTTGAATTTGTACGGATGTGACTGTCAAGACCAAAACATTTCAAAAACTAAATGTACTCTCGTAACCTTTACTCAAGAAAGGAAGACAGGTTCACTGATGGTAGATGCACACAGACACATTCACAGAACCAGGTGAGCAGGCAGTCGTCAGGAGAGATCCTCTCTGATATCGCCCCACTTCACCGACTCTAATGAGCAGGCAGCACATCTGGACCTGTTCAAATGAGGAAACCTAATTTACCTTAGAAAGAAATGACACAGAGCCACAATTTCCTTTGGAAAATTATTCTCTGCTGGAAGCGTTTGTTAACTTATATGTTTGTTTTTAGATTCATTCAGTAGTTGTTAATCATTAGTTGTTTGTCATTAGTTGTTAGTCAGTAGTTGCTAATCAGTAGTTGTTAGTTAGTTGTTGTTAGTCAGTAGTTTTTAGTCAGTATTAGTTAGTCATTAGTTGTTAGTCAGTAGTTGTTAGTCAATAATTGCTAATCAGTAGTTGTTAGTCATTAGTTGTTAGTCAGTAGTTGTTAGACATTAGTGGTTAGTCATTAGTTGCTAATTAGTAGTTGTTAGTCAGTAGTTGTTAGTCATTAGTTGCTGATTAGTAGTTGTTAGTCAGTAGTTGTTAGTCAGTAGTTGTTAGTCAGTAGTTGTTAGTTATTAGTTGTTAGTCATTAGTTACTAAAGAAGTCATAATGGGTCTGAGTGAAAAAAGTCTTCACAACAAGAGCAACGGCCAGTTGCCAAAAGCATCTTTAAATCATAGTCATGCTAACTGGATAATTTTATATAATGCAGCTAATTATTGAGCATTTGATCACATCTGTCCAATCACTACGTGTATCTGCCAGCTCGTTCATAGGCCACTAGGCAACAGAATCAATCAATTATTCATCCAAATCATATCATAATCCGCTGGATAGTTAATTCTCATTTTATCATTCTCCTGAGTCAACAGGAAGTCAGTGATTATGCTCGTATTTCCAGTTCATCTGGAGAACACAGCCACAGGTTGTGCTGAACTTCTTCCACGTCCAAAACAAGGTTTCCTATTAATAGCATCATAACATTTCCCTTTGATTCATGCAAAACAGAGGAGAGGAATTATTCATCTGACGTCTGGCCTGATAAACCTTCTGCCTGAACACCACTCCCCAGCGCTTTACTAATTACAGGAGGCTGATTCCTTTTATATGGAAACCCTTTTAAAATGTTGAACCCCTGCAGCGTGCCGACAGTACACTGGTTCAGCTGAAATGAACAAGGATGTTTTGACGGTGTGTACTGATGCAAACAAGGACCTTCGAGCTTTTATGGTAAAGTATTGATTACTAATTAATACATTGATTGACTCAGAGGTTAGTTACCACAAAGCACTCATTTGTGTTTGCAGGCTTCTTTTTCTTTTTCTTCTACATGGGGATTAAAATATTCCACCAACAGAAAGAAGAATAAACAGATTACCTTTTAAAGTGTGATTTGTTGGTATTTAAAAGGCCCTGCAGGAGACCATCAGCTGGAATTGGTTTCTAAAATAAGAATAATAAATGCTCTCCAACTGTTTATAATAACCAGGCATGTGCTCAGCAATAACCAATTCTGTGATTTTGCAATAAGTAGACATTTTTATTTCAAATTCCTTTTGTGCAGCTTGAAAAGTCCTGTGTGTCTGCACCTCTTATTTGTTCCTTCACTATAATGTTGGATACAATGTTGATACTTTCATGGACCTTTTAGACCAGGCGTGGGCAAATTATTTGACTCTTGGGCCACAATTGTTCTAAAATTGAACATAGGGGGCCGGGTCAGGAGCCGATAGATTGAGCTTTTGTGTGAATTAAGATAAATCACATGTAAAAGTCCTGCATACGAGCTAAAATTATAGAATGCTTTTATAATTTTCTACGCCATCTTTTGGGGAAATGTGGGTATTGCAGGAAAAAAGCAGAAGTATAATGATAATATAAATAAATTATATAATTTGGAAAAGTTTGGCCGGCCGGATTAAAAAAGATGAACGAGCCGCATCCGGTCCCCGGGCCTTAGTTTGCCCATACCTCTTCTTGGGGTTAAGAGCCTTCTGTTGTAGACCTCTGATATAAATTGGAATCCATACTAAAATACTAAAAAAAACACACAGTGACATGATGTTAAGATTTGGAAGAAGGATGAAATGTTATGTTGTACTGATCGATGTAAATTGTTCTTGTATGAGTGGTTAAATTAAGAGGTTTTTAATTCACAATAATCAATAATTAATCATCTTAATTAGCATTTAAGTGTGAATAATTATATGAGCCCACGCATGTAGCCATCATCCGTCTGATTAAAAAAAAAATGTTGGTTAATAATCGATCAAGTCTGACAAGGCAATGTCTTGAAAATGAATTAGTTATTATTGTTTTTATTGAACAACAAGAACATATATGGTGCAGCAGATTCTCTCTGACTGATTCACTGAAGAAAACTGAAACAGGAAGTAATGTTTAACGTGGGTAAATTTGTAATTTTTCTAAATTTGTCACAATCGTGGTTGTCCACCTGCAGCAGGTGTAGGATAATTGTGTATTTAATTGTTTGTGTCTCAGAGGGACAACGTACTACATCAACATGGTGCTGCCAGGCTGCTGCAGCGGGGAACACGGGGGAGTCGAAGAAAGGCATTTACAGTGATTTATGTTCTCGCCTCCCGGTACTCAGGGGTCTGCCGGCAGCAGAACGACTGTACGAGAGTGGACTGTTGTGTGTATCGCCTGTGACACGCAGACAAAAAGAACTAGGTTGTGAACTGACAAGTCCTCTGAGTCTGAGAGCAGACAGCCACTCAGAAAACCAAAGCCACTGCCTGGAGGCTGCACAGAGAAGGGGTGGGTGATACAGAGGAGAGCAGAGGAAATGACTGGAAATAAATAAATAAATACGCTTGTTGAACCCAACTCACTCTGTCAACCCGTCTGTGACTCTCTTTCTACTTTCTACAGAGCCGCAGCTTTTAAATTAAAATCAACAGTTAGGTTTGAATGTTTGACTCACAGTTGTCACAAGACGCCGTTGACAGAAAACTTGAGCTGACCAATAGCAGCGCAGTACACACACAGGCCACTAAAAGCTTCTGTAAAATGCAGGATAAAGCCATCTTCCACTGTCTACGTGCGGTCTCTAATCCATTACACTCTGACCTTCTACTTCTTGCTTTGTCTACTTCCAGCCTTTAGGCTCGGTCAGCTTGTCAGCTCTCTCCGTGCAGACAAACAGAAACCCCAAAACAGCCTAAGCTAGAGGAGGTGTCAACTGAGGAGTCAACGTAATGAAAAAAAATCAGTTAAAAATTCAGATGTGATTTATAATATGTAGTGTAAACATTTTTTTTAGAGTTTATCTATGGCTGTCACCCTGCAATTTTTATCATTTTTTAACTTTTATCTTTTCAAAATCTTTTCTGCATGTCATCAAATTAGAGCATTTTGAAAACATTTTTGGAAATTTCTTTTATTGGGAATTTTTTTTTAATGTCATTTTTGGTCAAATGTCAAAAGAATTTCATGAAATATTTTGAAAAAAAATCCCATTTAAATTTTTTTGTATGTTTCTGATTAAATTAGAGCATTTTGAAAAATGTTTGGAAACTTTTTTTGCGGGAGTGGGATTTTTCAGTGAAATCCTAATTTTGCAGGTCATTTTTGGTCAAATACCAAAAAAATTCATGAAATATTTTGAAAAAAAAAATTGTACCTTTTGTGCATGGAAAGATTTTTTGGGGAATTTTTCGGATGGAAACATTTGTTTTTCAGATGGAAATTTTTTTTTGTCTACAAACCATTGAAAAATAGTGATTAATCAATGTTGACTTCACTGAGAGGTAGATTGGAGCCAGACGACTGGACCAGGGACAGAACGTGATCGTGCTGCTGCTGCAAAACAGGGCTGACAGGCCTGACACGAGCAAAACACCATGGGGAGCAGCACTGGGAAACAACCAGTCAATCAGGCTGCTCGGACTGTGGGGGGATGGAAAGGTCTCACAAAGACCACACTTTCATTTCTTGGTGGCTGACAGGGTGACATGACACCGCCTCTTTACCTCGCTCCGGTGTATTGTTATTTTTATTTTAATTTGGATGTTTTTTTTTCTGATGCCAGTTATGGAATTCTAATGAAACAGAGCCACATTTAATATCTAAATAAATACCTGATATATACTAAAATGGGTAAAAATAATAATAATAAAAAAATAATTTGATTCAACGTCAACCGAAGGCTTTCTGAAGGATATATTATTCAGCACCTTGTGTGCCAGGGTGCAGCATTAAAACATGCAAATTTCAAAGAGCCTCTCTGTCACTTGGAGCAGAGTCCTCGTCAGTGGGAAGGGATGAATCAGAGCAGGCTAAGACAAGAGTTCTTGAAGTAGACACTCGGTCATTTTGATAATAGATCTGTAATTACTGATTACATCTACTCTCTCTGATTTCAGCATCTTTTTCAAATCAACACTTAAAAACACGTAAATGTCATGTGGCAGTATCACAACCTGGTCATACATATAAAAAAACCTGGTTAAAAATTTTAAAAAAGAGAGCATCCTCTCCATCACTGGATGCATTACTCAGCGTCCTCTAACAGCATTATCTAAAGTGCATTAGAGGTGATCTCTAGATCAGAGTAATTGAACCACATCACTGCAGCCGTGAGGTTTACAGAACAATGAAATAGAATATGTTATATATATATGTATATTATATCATATTTTATCTTTTCCGTAGAATTTTGCACATTTTGCACACATGTGCAACTGCGAAGCTAACTGTGAACAAATGCAAAGTCTTGATGACATTATCACAGAATGACAATCTGTGACAATGACAATTTCACCAGGAAAAGTGATTTCCTAAATAAATAAATAAAAATAAAAAAGAGGGACCATAACTTATGGCCCCTGCTAAAACCCCATGCCACACTTTTGTATCTCTAAAAAAACACACACACACAAAAAACCTCTCCATATTTGTACATAGTTGCTTTCTTTTTAAAATAATTTAGCTTTACTCTAAAATGACAGTGTTCTCAGTGTCCAGTTGAGACATGTTTTGTCATGTGTGGACAGTTGGAGGACTCACCTGCCAGGATCGCCTTCCCTGGATGAGTCAACTTGGCCTTTCCTGCCGGGGCGGCTGCAGCCAGACACCTGGGTCTGGGGAAGGGGCTGAGAAAAGCGCGTCTGTCCTGCATGATGAGAAGGAAAACGACCAAAAACAGATTGCTGTCTTACGAAGTTATTTCCTTGGCAGTTCCTTCTTCCTTATCAGTCAGCAAGTGGGTTTATAGACCGATGATGTGTGACGGACAGAGAGACGCGCCTCCTGTAATTCAGGTCCTGCCAGATTTCAGGGTGTTTCTGGGTGTCGACAGTGGGCGGACACCGGGACGGCGAGAGGAAGTTTGTATCCGCCTATAGTTGTAACTATAGTAACGTTGTTTCACGACAGTGGTGCGTAACAGAGCCCGAAAGACAGATGACAGTGGAGAAATGTGCTGTTACTCCTGCTCCTGTTAATTTGAGGCGGTTTAAACGCAGAGACGGAGCCGTTAGAGGCGGCTAAAGTACAAGCAAGAGATTCTGAAGTGGGAAAGACCCGGATGTTGGCTCTTTATATGTGAAAGAGAATAAAACAGTGTGGGTGGGGCTGTATTTCTCTCTCTCTCTCTGTCTGTCTCTCTCTCGCTACCTTAACGTCCTGTTTCGACTGTATATCGCTCGAGTATCGGACCAACATAAACATGATAAAATGAAACAAAACAAAAAACAGAACAATTAAGTCATGGTTAAAAAATAAAACATTTACACAGAATGCTAACAAAACTTCATTTTGGTTGTGACTTTGTTTGAGTAAACATTAACTTCTCGTTACGTGGTTTTATTCTTAAATTTACAACAACCAAAATCGCATGTTTTAAACGTTCGACTTATGTTCGTACACTAAGCAGTGTTTCAGTGATGTTACGAGGTTTCTTGTAATATTATCGCTCGTAATAAATTATATTGTATTTACGAAAATCACGACTTTATTTATGTGATATCCTGCCTTTATTTTCACAAATGTAGGACTGTTTTTGGTAATATTTGGACTTTACGGTAAAAACTGTACATTGCAAGCAAACGTAGTTACGGCTTGTTTCCTTATATTTTCTTCCTTATTTACTTATTTACTTATTTTTTTGCTTAAATATTCTCTCTAATACGGAGTACTACGGAGCCCCTACAGTGACACGGGGAAAAAAGAGAGAATCGTTTCTCGTGCGCACGAGAAAGTTTCTCTTTTTTTTTTCCCCATGTCACTTTAGGGGCTCCGTACTGTTACGCTTCATAAACGGACTTTATTTTCGAAATTAGGATTCTTTTTACCGTGACTGGGGCAATAATGCGTGTTTCTCAAACTTAGACCAATAAACAGTTAATATTTGAAAACACAGACCAACTAAATTAGTTGTAAGAGTATTTGAAAAAAAAACCAAATTAAACCGTTAATAATAAAAAATAAAAATTATGCCAATATAAAAATTGGAGTAATTTGCATGTATTTTTACTGTATAGATATATTTCACCTTGTAACTACCACAACTACATAACCTTTTAACCGCTTTTTCTACTGCACCATACTTTTTGTGTTCTTTCTGTGCCTCCTGAGGACAATCAGTTTTTTCAAAAAGCCCTTATAAGCAATATTTGTACAGGCAGCCAAAGGCTTAAAACAACCACACCCTCAACAAACAAAGAAAAGGAAGAAAGTGTTAGATCAACTCTGGGCAGCCAGACACATGTCCTGCACGAAAGAAAACTGAAGGACAGTATTTGTGACAAACAAAATTCAAAGTTTTCAAATGCTCTAATTTAATGAGAAACATGCAGAAAAGATACAATTTCTAATTCCCTTTTCCAAAATATTTCATGATTTATTTATTGTTTTTGTCATTTTACCAAAAATGACATGCGAAATTAGTATTTCACTGAAAACATTTTTTTTTTTACTTGTACTAAAAAGGCATCTAATTTGTAGGTTTTTCTAAGTGCATATTCGAAAAAACACTGCAAACTGCACAGAAATCACAGAGTGTAAACTTTATTCTTCTTTGCGTATGCAGGACTTGTGCAGGAAAAAACAGTGTGCTTCATGTATAGCTTTTTTTTTTTTCAAACTTTGGCATATCCAAAGGTGACACTACGGTAGAAGAGCACAGGACACTGTAAGGACAGGTGCACAGCACAGGAAATACACATTTGACCACAGCGAGCAGCCTTACCTCCACATCTCTGCCATTTATTAACCTTGTTTTTGCAAATTTCTTTTTTTTACAAAAATTATTATGGGTTTTGGGACTACAACAACACACACTATAGACAATACAAGGTATTTTATAATATCTGGCTTTGATTAGGTAGGTGTATCATAATTTTTTACACAATGCTTTCAGTACAATAATATTTGTTTTTTTTTTTATTAAAACTGGCAACAGAATGTGAGCTAATGTTCACGTATTCTTCTTCTCTGTGTGTTAGTTTGAGTTTTTGTCACTGATTCCTCTTAAGGAAGAGACTTTGTACCTCACCTAAGATTTTAACACAACAATAGTAACAGTTGATATACTTACATGTAACATGATTGTGCTCCTGGTCGCAGCATTACAGTTTGGCAGCACATGCACAGACTATAGCACAAAGCATTTTCTTTTAATGATTTCACCTGATCCTCTCATCCTTTCGTTCTGATGTACTTATTTGTACCACATTCATTTAAAACTATTTTCAGAATTCAATAAAAAAGGCTTGATATGATGGAAAGCTTTGATACAGAAGATTGTTTGCTGCAACCATGGAGATGGAAATTTCATTTGAGTTTCACTTGGTTTGTTGACGTATCCCTCGGAGGCTTTAGAGGCTACACGTACACAGACACACATACTTTAACCTCATAAAACAAGTACTTTTAGTCCAAATACTGCAAACACTTTGTACCTGTTGTGAAAAGACAAACACAACTATTGCACAGTAACTGTCCTTCTGATCAGAGCGTGAGACAGCTGTGTAGTTTAAAATCATGAAACAAGCCTGTTTTGTTTTTGCCACTTTCTCAAAGTACATATGGCCGTAGCAGTGCTTCAGAAAGGAGAGGAGACACCTGCACACAGCCCACAGATGTGCACCTCCGTTTCCTGATAAATAAAGTCTCTTTCTCATCAGTGCTCAATCAACGGACAAATATTAAAAAAAAAAAAGGAGGCAAGAGCTGCTTCCATGGTTAGTAGAGCAGAACGGCAAGAGGACAGAGTGGGTTCTGTGTCACTACCATATCTTCGTAATGTCATTTCCTCTAAGGAGCTGAGAGATGATGACATGTGTTTATCACAGAAGCAGTTTTTAACCTGCAGAAAGTGTGGGTGAAACTAAGCACAATTCTTCTGACGAGTGTGTGAGGACAAAGTACAGTGAATGGGTTTCTATAGCAGTTTCAGAGTAAACAGGAGGAGCAGAGTCCTATCCAGGGCTGAAAGACTCCGTTCATTATAAGGGCGGTGGAAGGGTGTAGGGTTCTATTCACCGCCTATGTGGGTTGTTGAGATCCAGAGCAGCTTGGTTCAGTGAAGTTCAGGTCTAAGGCATGTGAAAGAGGGCAAAGGAGAGGAGTGGGTGAGGCAGGAGGGTCAGTCAGGCTTCTACATGTTAAAGCCATAAGCAGGCTGGGCTGGGCGGCAGCTGCAGCAGCAGCAGCAGCACCAGCGGCGGCCTGAGGAGGGTATCCTCCTGAGTTAGCAGGGTATCCGTAGCCTGAGTAAGCTGGCTGTGGTGCCACTGGAGTAGTGGCTGCAGTCAACATCAGCTGCTGACCTGTTCGTACACATAAACACAGGGTTATCCACTTCCTCAAATGCCTTTTCTACAAACAAAGTCATTGCATTTTGGAGTTGTGTTATTTTGTCATCTTATAACAGACATCAAAGACTTAACAATCAGTTTTTGTGAAACAGAAACTACATAGGAGGTTGTGTTGTGCCCAAATAACGATAGGGTAATATACTGATGCATTAGACACGTGACTTTCAAACCATTGTGACACAATAGTCACTTTAGCTACTAAAAGTTAAAAAAAAATCTTTAAATTTGTTTTTTATCCCTGTGGATTAACTGTTAGGTCAAGCATGCAAAAATACAATTTACTTTTAAAAAAAAATTCATTTAAAACATTTCCCAATAAAGACTATAATAATAATAATTATATCCAACTTTGATTTCATCAATATGTATATTTAAAGGTTGTGTCTCCACAGGATCTAATAACATTCAATCGTCAGGGTGTCACATACCAATCACCATTGGTTGTGGTTCTGTCCCCTCGTCATCAGTTTTCCTTTGGCTCTCCGCATCATCCAGTTTGTCCACCTGAGGGCAACAGAGAGCAGAGAAGCGATTGAGCGTTGATATTTCACACGCTGTAAAACAAGGTTTGACTATATCCCCTGCTGACACGGTTAAAGAAAAGAACAGTCGGTTTAATTTTATCTCTTAAATATGACCGTGATGACATCCACAGTTCACTTTTATTATCATGTCAACATGAAAGCTTTGAATAAAATTGTTAGACTTTGTCTGGAAATAATCCATATGTATTTGTGATAATCATTGCAAATAAATTAACAAAAACATAAAAATCTACCTAACTAAGCTGATTTATGAAAACCACTATACCTTGCAACCCAAAATACACTACATTGTTGTTTGTTGAAGGAGAAATGCCATGCAGGTTCGGTGAACATAGTGATTTCTAACCCGAACTGACAGGTTTGAGTTCATTAAGGTTAGAATCCAAGATTTAATCACATCTTATTAGTCAGTTTGATAAAGCAAAAGCCACACACTCTCAATAAGCTGAAAAATAACAATCTAAACAACAGTGTTAACAGTGAAAACACACGTGCACACATTTTAGTCAGTTCCTTCTCCCATGGTGTCTTGATACAAGTGGATATAAATCAGTGGAGAAGTTAGATAAGATCACATGTTTTACACATCCTCGCCAGACAAACGGCATCTGCAAGTGAGTTACTTCTGGCAGTAAACGTTCATTTTTTTGACATTCTGAGAGATAATCAGGCACAGCTTCTGCTTCAGCTGCGGTCACAGAGGATGTGAGGGGATTTCAATGCAACCTAACGCTGAGATTTCAACGGTGGAAAACGTTTGGTCAAAAAACTACATCTAACAAGGTGTTTCCAAAACTTTTTTTCTGGGGACCCAAGTCAAAAACCTTCATGACCCAAGTCAATAGACATTATTCGTAAACTCCTGGGAAACATGATGTGAGATGACCCTCTTGCGACCCACCCGAGGGTCACGACCCAGTCTTTGGGAAACAATGATCTAAAATATGAAAATGCATTTTACTCTTTTATTTAACTTATAACTGCCTTTTCAAAAACACTGAAGAATAGCAATTGTATTAGTGTTGAGTATGATTATGTATTAGATGTTTGAGTAATTGTTCAGAGGAGTTAGAAAGTGAGAGGTGTCTGTTAGAACACAACAGGATTCTGGTCCTAAGAATAAAAAAAAAAGTGCACAGGTTCTGGCTCCAACCACAGCCACACCATTACACTCCTTTATATGAAAAAAAGAACCCCCACAGATTTGTACTCTACAAGTTAAAAACAATTTCTAACACATTATATCTGAACACTTCTCTTCAATCAGTCATTTGAGAGACTTCTGTTAATTGACAACAAACAAAGTTCTGATTGGCTGTTGCACTTAGTTCCTCCTATTGACATGACTAAATCCGAGCTGATTGGCCCTTATACGTTTCAAGATTTATTAAAAAAAAAAATATATATTTCATACAAATATTTATACCCTCATGAATCTAGTTACATCTACTTAAATCTTAATTTAATTCGGAGCTTGTGACATCAGGACTTTTGCTTTCCTGTCTATTCAGCCTTTTCACATCTTCAAACTTATTATTCTAACAGTTTTAATTGTTAGAAAAGCGAGCAATAAAAAAGAAACAAATCTAGCCTTCCAGCTAAAATCAACGTGTTCCAAGCTCTACAACGGGCCGACCGACCGGGGCCATGGTGATATGTGAATCAAGGCTTTCCCCGATACAGTCTGCGGTTGGAGCAGAACCCTGTGCACACTTGTTAGGCATCATTTAGTCAACAGTCAACAGTCCATCCAAGTAAGTTCCAACAGACAGAGACACAGAGAGGAATAAAAAAAATAGGGCCAGAGACCATCACCTTCGCCGCAAACCCATCAACCTGAAACAGAACCCAAAGACATGACCTCGAGTGACCTCAGGTGTCTACAGGTCATCAACACGATGGCCACAGGAAGTTCACACTTTCAGATTTTACAAGAAAAAACAACTCCTTCAGATGGTTTTTGTCTCATCATACAGTATGTTCAAAAAATGTATCATTAAAAGAAAAGAAAAAAAAAACCAATGGACAGTATTTTACACCAATTAACAATAAATAACTCATCACTTATAACAACACTTACCTTTGTGAGGTACTCTCTCATGACCTGGATAAAGTAGGGCATAGCAAAGTCCATGATGTTGTGTCTCCAGGCCAGCTCCAGCACCACGTCAGGGTGGAGCAGATCATAGGAGGCGAACAGACAGGCAGTGAAACACTCCTTCCTGCCCTCCTCCAGGAACCACTGGAGTAGAGTCTCGGCCAGCTCTGCGTCCTTAGACTCAGCAGCGTACAGCATGGCGTCCTGGGTTGGAAAGAGAAGCGTGTTGTCAGAGTAGAACAGTGACATCTAGAGGCGGTGTTGCAGTAATTCACAGGACAAAAAAAAAACAGGAATTAGAGAAGATTGTTGTTTTCATTAATTTGCTCTAACCTTGTAGAGTTTGTCCTTCTTACACAGCTCTACGCTCTGCCTCCAGCGGTTGTTGCCTTTGTACAAATAGGCGGCAATTCGTCTGAACTCAATCAGCTCGTGTTTCTCTAAGCGCTGAGCCAGGCCGATGGTGTCGAAGTTGTCATAGCCATCGATGGACGCTCTTAGGCTCTGTAGAAACATTTTTTTATGGGTTTTAATGATCATCATAGTTCAATCATTAAGTTACTTGTCTCCTTCACTCAAAGTCACAATTCATTTTACTCGGCACTTCTCTAAGTTTGCACCCAGCTCCAGTCAAATCAAACTCCTCAGCCTCGAAGTTAAAACTAACACTGAGAAAACCCTTTTTCAACCAATCAGTTACTTCCTACCTACTTCTGATGCTCCATTGGTTTTTATAAGCTTATAAACTGATCTCCTTGGTTATTTCAGTCTTCACATAACACGTGGCTGACCTGATAGTCTTCTTCGTCTGTCAGGAGATTGTTGAGAGCCTCGTTGACTGACTTGTTGTTGTGATTCTGCACAGATCTCAGGTAAGGCTTCACCAACTTCAGCTGGTTCACCTGCACAAGGAAACACGACTTTGAATTTCTGTCACAACTTTGAATTTCTGTAAAAGCTGCGAGAGGTTTAATTCTAAAAAATGTCCACCTTGCTGAAGAAGGAGACGGCTCGGCTGTGATCCAAGCGCGGCGACAGAATAGTGAGCAGGTCATTCAGAAGGAGGGGTTTGTATTCCAGGTAGAAGGAAAGAGATTTGTAGTACAATTCTATGTTGGCAACCTGGGACGAGAGAAAAAAAAAATGAGGACAACAACGATAATAAGAGTTTTACTATAATGAACTATTGGCTAATAGTTATATTTCTTGCCTTAGCAATGATGTCCTTGAACAGCCCTTCTTTCCACGCGTCCGTAGGATGAGACATCATCGTGATGACAGCGTTGTCAAACTCCTCGTATTTGTCGTAAAGAAAAACCAGCTCCGCCCACAAGTGAGACTGCTCCGCCGCACGGAGAACCTGGTCAGAAGAATACAGAACAAGGCGATATTTAAGGTCTTAAATGTTACATTTTTTTACGTTGTTTACAACTTTTTTTTTAATGTAACTTTTCGGGATGACTCGGATATCTGGGGGAAAAAGAACTGCTCGATCTACTCAGAGACCAAAGTCAAACTTGGCGATTTAAAAAAAAAAAAAAAAGTACAACAATAAAATTCATTTTGCAGTGTCAGCCTTCAGAGCTCTAAAAAGGAAACATGACAGTTCTCAGCCTTTCTTTCCTTCTGAATCTAAATGGTCAATGTGATGACCATTTAGATTTATCATAACAGAAGGGACTAATTTGAACCATAGACACACACACACACACACACAAACACTGACACACCCACAAGCAAATATTCTATTGTTCCTTACCTTCGGGATGTTGACTCTGGACCAGAACAGCTCCAGGTGCTCCCTCATTTTCTGAGGTTTGAATTTGGAGTAGAGGATGGCGAGCTCGGTGAACATGCCCATGTGAGCCCGCTCCAGCCCCAGGGCAGCCTCCAGCAGAGCGATGAGCTCCTCAAAATACCCACGGTCCTGATAGTAGCTGATCAGATCCTCCAACTCGTCAGCGTGGATCACAATGTGAAGGCCGCAGATTTGTGCTAATCGGAACTCCTCTCCGTCCACACAGGCGAAACACACCTGACAAAGAGAGGAGAAGACGGGGGAGGTTGAGGGGGGATTAAGTTCTGGTTCTGAACAACCAAGTTCATGTGATAGAGGCTCATGAGTGAATGAATAAACATCTTTAACTTGGATCAGACTTGAAAGACAAATCTTTCAAATGCCATTTTAATTGGCCATTGATTTTTTTTTTTAAATATTATATTTGACTATTATGACTACAGTACATGTATATGTTAGTACCCAAGAGTATTCATGTGGTTGGAAAACTCTTATGATCGTGAAATACTTATGATTTAATAAAAAATATAAGTTACAGTCAATTGAGATTACATCAATTAATGAATTTAGTTTCTGGTCATCTCAACTGTAGGTAGGCATTGATATTAATCTCCCTAAAAACGCCTCCCGTAGCAGACTATGTGGCTAGTGAATTTACTCATTGTGGCAAGAATGAAGTGAATCTACTATTATTACTATTATTAGTACTTTTGTTATTATTGTTATTATTGTTATTATTATTATTATTGAATACTCACAACAGAAAAATGCCATCAAAGTCCTTTAAGTGTTGATGTACCGTGCTAATGTATTAAAATGACTCAAACTCCACTGAAGAGGAATCAGCCCCCCCACCTCTTTCCAGGTTCTGGTGCTGTTGGCTTTCCTAGCACTGTCCACAGCAGCTTGGTACTCCCCAAGGTGGACGAGTGTGGAAGCCAGGCGGGCAAAGTTGGACACGTTGTTGTACAAGAGCTTTGCTGCGTCGTACATTCCCTCCTCGTAACATCTGTCGCCCACCTGGGAAGAGAGAGGGATGAGGTTTCACACGTGCAGTACTGTACAGTACTATGTAGTACAGAAGTCACAGCAGTGGTGAGAGCTCTCTCCTACCTGCTGTATGTGAGCATTGTTGGGCCCGCTGACAAACTCCTCCAGCTCTGCCAGACGACCCGTCTTGGCCAAGGCGAAGATCAGCTCCGTCTCCACGTAGGACTCCCTCGCTTTCTTCCGCGCCATCTGAAGGAATTTCACCAGGTCTTCCCAATTATCTGTGAAAAAAAAAAAAAAAACAAAGACCAACATGATGACGTCAATCTATATACTGTTACGTGTTTCATAGTTGACGCTGTTAAAAAAAAAAAACAACTCACTGTTCTTGCTGGCTGCATTTACCACCTCCATGTATGCCGACGGGTCGACAGCTTTTATGTAGGAGTCAATGGCCTCCTTGACCAGGTCTCTCTGCAGCTGAGCTCTGGCCAACTGGCTCCAAACTGCAGGTTCATTACAGCGCTCTGCAAACTCATAGGCACGGTCCAGGTTGCTTATGTGCTCTATCAATACCTAGACGTAGGGAGACGGAACTTTTAGCTACTTACTGTAGTATTGTGTACATTGTACTACACCAATGTCCTCAAACTTTTTCTATTCTGTACCATCTGATAAAACCTTGATCTCTCTGAGTACCACCATGATGACCAACATTAGAATATAGCAGCATAGACCTTCACTATTAGCTTCTACCACAGGAGAGATGTTTAGAAATGTTTAGAAAGATGTTCATGTTTAAATGTTGTAATAATTGTACATGGTATGGTTCAGATTTATTCTATTGAAAATGTAAATGTGAAAATGTGAAGTTTCTCCGCGTACCACTAGGGAGCACTCGTGTTCCACTGGCGGTACATGTACCACAGTTCAAGAAACACAGTACTAGACATTAATCTCACCTGTATGGCTGAGGTGTTTACGTCAAACTTCTTAAAAATAGCAAAAGCCTCTTCAAAAAGCTCATTGCTGATGGCGATGTTAGCGATGTCTGGAGCGTCGTAGTTGTCCAGTCTGTTGATGTACTCCATCACACGGGTGCGGTCGGCTTTGATGGCCGTCAAGATCAGCAGGTTCTGGAGGTTCCTGGTGACCCAGAGTGAGATAAATGATAACAGAAATGTTGAGAAATGTGTTGTGAATCGATGATAATAACACAAGTCGGAGTGGGTACCTGTGTTCACTGAACACGGAGTTATCAAGAACAATCTTCTCCAGCAGCTCTATCAGCTCGTTCGGCAGGTCGGCGGTCATGAAGGCCTTGACCGACACGGACACCTCCTCTGGATCCTGAGTCTCTGACAGTGCCGTCTGAACCACCTGAGGGAAACAAAATTCAAAAAACGTGAGACAACAGTGTATTCACTGTACAATGGGTTTAATCTCAGGTACAGGGTCAGTATGTTGATATTCACATCAATAATGAACTCTAACACTGCTCTATAATGTGGACTAATAGACAACTCACAAAATATTCAGAGTGGAAGAGAAATTACTTGTGTATCAATTCCTTTACTATGAATTTTCATTTATTTACTTATATATTATTATATTATTATTATGTGTGTATGAATATCCAAGGTCAGAAACAATAGTCAATATAACATATTTGTATCCAAGTGCCTGATGGTTCATAATTTTCCCAAATTTGAGTCTTAGCACTAAGCTGCTAAACTAAACTATTACTATATTATTATTGTTGTTGTTGTTGTTGTTATTATAACAATAACAACAACAACAATGATAATAATAATACTATTTATTAAATTAATAATATTATTTTAAAAATATATACTATAATAAAATGAAACTCAAAGGTACTTTACAGAACTTAGTAGTAATATAGTCTTCAGAAAATATACCATTTTCATACAATCCAATGTACATGATAAACACAAGGCACAGTACAAGCTATAGACTGTACAACTACAATATTCACACAGTCATTCCCAGTTTTAGTATAGAGTTACAGTTAGGAACTCCACCTGGTCAATGAGTTGTCTTCTGTACGGATTGTTTTCTTCCAAAACGATCTCCCAAAGATCGGGATCTTTCCGCCGCACCAGGTATCGAGCCTCGCTTTTAAATAACGAGTTCTCATTGCAAACCTTGGAAAAAAATAGTTTAAAATTAAGAATATATTTTGAAAACAACAAATATTCAAATGCTTTTCATTTCATCTACACACTTTGATCAGCTCCAGGTCACACTGTCCCCTCTCATAAGCCACGCAGGCCAAGTGAGGGTCTCTCTTCTCGCAGTATCGTCCGACCACGGCGCTGTCATAGAACGGATTCTCCTTCAGGAAGCGCTCCGGTGTGTTGTTGCTGTCGATGTATATTTTAGCCAGAGCGTTGTGTATGGGCGGCTCCTCGCAGCCTTCATGAATACGGGACTCCAGCCATGGCAGCAGCAGCTTTAACCTGAAAAGATGGAGAAAAAAAAAGAACTTTTATTGATCCAGTTTTTGGAACATTCTTGTGTTAGCAGCAGATTTGCTGTTAACAAGCTGCACCCAACAGGTGCCCAACATGTGGTTCCTCTGGGAATCAAACCCAGGCCGCTCTGCTCCTCAGGCAGGCGTGCTAACCGCTACACTAAGGAACAGACAATGAGAAACAATGAATGATAACAAAGATTTATGATTTTTTTTGTATAATATCTGACCTGCTTTATGATTGTACAGTAAGGTTTCAAAACACTAGGGGATAGTGTTGCTCACTAAGGAGTGTGGATTATGTTTAAATAATGTTTTAAGATGCACCATGTTTTTTTATATTTGGTGACTACATCAGCTCTGCTCAATCTTGTCCTCATTTTACTGTCGGCTGTTTTTACAGGGCACTTGATGGAATTGAACCCACAACCTACTGCATGGCAGGCAGAAATTGTCTCACTACATTTTAGCTATTCATTTTTGACTATTAATAATAATAAAAATTCACAACTGTAACGTATTATAAATGCAACAAATTATTGTTTTAACCACAAAGCTATGTAATGTATAACAGCGACTGTTAAAATAAGGAGAAGAAGAAAAGGAAGAAGAGTTGTCTATTTGTTCTACCTGTTCCTCTTCTCCACCTCCTCCACCAGCTCATCTGTGGAAAACTGTCCTCTGACCACCATGATAAGGTTCTTGATGACATCCTCTGCGCAGTCCACATCCAACAGCCCCCCTATCACCACGGGTAAACGACTGGGGTTCACCTACGAATCACATGGCCATAAATTCTCAATACAAACACAGGACAGACTTTGGAGCAATCACGTTAAATCCACCCAAAAAAAAAACTTTCACTTTTACCTTCTGTACGTAGATTTCTATGTACTTCTGCAGACTGTTGCGGTACAGGTACAGAACCAGGTCGTGCACAAAGTCGAAGCGGTCGCACACAATGATGAGAGGAAGCTGGTCTGTGAGTTTGGCTTCCTACGAAGAGAAAACTACATTCATTAATATATTTCACAACAGTTAAGTTTGTAAATAATCAAAAGAGTGATTTTTACCTTGAGAAAGTTTTTAACCCTTTCTGGATCGTAGCAGCTGCTCTCTCTGCATATTCGCTCCACTTCCTTAATCTGGCCTGTCTTACAGGCGGCCTGAATGTACTTGAAGTGAACTTCAGGATCTTGACTGAAATTCACAATTGAGCCCAGGAAGTAAAACAGTCCTTAAAAACAAAAGGGGACAGTGGAGGAAACAAAGTCAGCAAAGTCAGACAGTTAGCCATGTTGAGTTACCTGAACACTTTATGACATGTTATCCAGAGAGACTGCGGCCGCGTGTGAGACACTCACCTTCGTAACTCTTGAAGGATTCAAAAAGCTCCACCAAGGATTCTGTTCCCAGCTGCTCGTGATACTTGGACGCCACCTGAACGCACAGCTGCAGGTTCTGTCTGATGTTAGACGAAAGCATGGCTCTTAAACAGTCCAACGAGTCATCCACTGATAAGGAGCCAAAGAAGTTCACCAACCACTGAAAGGCGCAACCACAGACAGGAATTGAAACAAGGGAGACAGACAATTTTAAGTTAGTTCACTTAATTTAATTGTCTGATTTTAGTTAATGTTACTGTTTTATTTATTTTTTTATTGTGGAAAAATATATAATTTAGTGTCTTAAATTTGACTGGAACTCTCAACTGAACTTTTATGGAATTCTTACAAGATACTATTATCATTATTATTGAACATTATTATTCTTATTTATATTGTTCATAATTATTAACTGAACATGTGATATTATTAATAAGTTATCTTACAACAAATCATACGGTATTATATATCATTATTCATTACCGTATACACCAGTGTTTCCCAAACGTTTTTTCTGGGGACCAATATTTTAAAAGTCACAAAACTTCACGACCCAAGTCAATAGACATTATTGGTAAACTCCTTGGAAACATGATGCGAGACGGCCCCCAAAAACACAAAATCACGTGACCCAGTTTTTGAGAAACAATGGTTAAATAGACAAATTTCCATATACAGTATCTGTCTTTCATACTGTGTTCTGTTTATTCTACTGCTGGACACACATTCACTATGATTGGTTCTGTGTTGATGCTCCGCCTTCTAGCCAACAAACTAAGCTCTGATTTGCTCTCACTGTCATCAGTTTCTTCCGTTTTCATGACAAAACCAGTGCTGATTGCACGTGGTCTCTGCCAGATTTTTGTAAGTTAATTAAAAAATGAAAGAAATATCGTGCAAATTTAGCCCAATATAACTTTCTATTTTAAATTTATTAGTCAACTCTGGCTGGGAAAAGGTCAGTTGGACTGTGTTAGACCTTCTTCAAAAGGAGTAAAAACACTTCTACTACCACAGGCTTCACCATACGTCTGCTGACTCACCTCAGGGTTGAGCAGGTGTGTGTGCACTACGGCTCGTTTGATATCGTACAGGTCGGTGTAGTGTTCGAGAGCTCTCTGCAGCAGACCTGCGTTCTCACACAGCTGAGCAATGTGGGCTCTGTCGTAGTGCGTGAACATCTGGTTTCCCAGGATCGCATCTGCTACCTGAAAAAGTTTATAACGCACACATTAAACCCTAATTCCATTCAGAGGGTTGTTCTTCTGTGGGTCTGAGTGTCCACCTGAGGAGCATGTATGAGGTTCATCTCCAGCAGACGTGTCTGTAGGTGTCCTTCAGCTGGCCGGTTGTTCTTTAAAGCGTCCAGCAGGAAGGAGGTGCACTGTTGGATCAGGCTCCCCTCCATGAATACATCTACAATCTACCAGAGACAGAGAGAGAAATGTAGGGAAGAAACTTCCTCACATCATTTGCCAAATTCCTTATTTCCTTTCATTTCTGGGCAGCATAAGAATCGCACAGCATCAGACACCAGATATGGCAGCCACATGTTTTTGCTTTTCAAATTTAAAAACACAAAGTGGGAAGGTTTAGTCTTGGGGAAAAAAACAGATTCAGAGTCTGTGTCTGTGAGATGTGACTGTACATAGAGGAGGAGGTCACTGACTCAGGGAATTCCTAGCATTACTGGCACATCTGGAATAACACAGATGCAAGCTCCCACACTGGGCTCTTTGTGCGTTTGCGTGCATGTGTGAGGTTTAAGAGTCAAAGCAATTGCAGTACTTCCCCAGAGAGTGAGGTGTGTAAAGCTTCTGTGTACTTTACCTGGTTAATATTGGCCAAAGGCTCCTCATCCTGGACCAGCATTTGAGCAAACTGCAGCCCCTGGTCGAGGTTCACGCGCATCGTGTTTCTCAGTAAAAACACCCAGTCCGGTGTGTAGCCGACCTTCAAAAAGGACGCAAAAATGAAGTTTAATTTAAAAAAATACAAACATTTCCGCAGCAAACGTAAAACACACAGAACTCAGAGACTATTCCTACTAAACATTTGATTTTAAAAGTATTGAATAAATGTATAGCAAAACAAAAGGCAAAAAAGGGACGCCACCAGTTATTTATTATAATATTTACATATATATTAACCCTTTACGAACCCTTTAGCAGGCATCGTAGGGCGTGAAATATGGCAAAAAAAAAAAAAAAACTTTCACAAATCTCGTTTACCCGTACATACAGATGATTTCTTGCAAAACTCTGTATGTATGTGTTACAAAATGTCTTTTAATTTATTTTCTTTATTCTTTTTTTTTCTTAGGCTAGAAAAACTTATTTCTCAATTCTCAAAATTCTTAAAAAAACTTATATACCACAAAAACCTGCGATAGAGCAAAAAAATCTGCAATACAAGAATACATTTAAAGTACTAAAAAAGTGCACGACAGCCGAACCACGATACAGCGAGGGACGACTGTATAAGTGAGTAGTGAGTTTGATAAATGAAGTGAGTTTTCTGATTACCTTTTTAGCGTACAGCACTATCTTCTGAAACTGACCATTCTCAGCAAAGCACTGGATGACCTTGTTGGGGACGTTGGCTCTGAGGTACATACTAAGAGCCAAAGTGGGATCCGTAGTCTTCACCAGATCTCCCAACTCCTCTGAGCACTCCAGCTAAAGAATATAACAAACATGACCAACATGGACACCACCGTATGATTTACTGCAGAAGCACTGCTGGACTTCGCTACGGTTCTACCTTGTCCTCCTTAAGCCATTTCTCCAGTAGTTGTTTGCGGCCTTGCTGCAGGACGGGTCGGCACAGTTCCAGAGACTCAAACTTGTTCAGCTGTCCCTGGTCCAGGAGTATACCAAAGTACTGCAGCAGTGGAGAGGCCTGACCGGGCTGAGCTGGGACACTCTGGAATTTACGAATGGTTTCTGCTGTCCGCAGGATCCCCTGAGGCGAGAGAACACAGACGAGAGGTAAAAATAATAATAATTGAAAACTTTAAATATTACTTAAACTGTAATACAACGATGTGAAAATATTGAAATAAAATTCATTTTCAATGCATGTTGCTTGTTCCACACAAAGCCTAATAGATTTTGCAAGAATTTGAATTTTTGCATGTGACCCTGAAGTTAACACAAAACACACAAACTCAACACACAGATGTACCTTTGGTGCTGATGAGGCAACCTTTGCGGCGTCCGAATAACTGCCCTGGGCAAAAAGAGTATTGAACTTTCTGGTAAAAAGCTCCTCGGCTCCAGCCAGGTTTGACCTGACAGCCATTCTCAAGGCCAGATCGGGGTTCTGAAGGACGTTGGAGGCGTAGTTGATGATGTTCTCCTCCTCGACACATACAGACAACACCTGGAAAGCAGATAACAGCAAATGAATACTACACAAACTACAATTCACATTTTGTACGTCAGGTGGATACGACAGAGAGGAGTCTGCATCAAACATTTGAATCTCTCACCTGCCCCTTCTTGTTAACTCCTATAATTCCTGAAGTAGCTTCATAAGGAGCGGTAACAAAGATGGTCTCTGCGCTAATGCGATTCATGTAGATGCACACGCCAGACTCCAGGTCATAGAGGTGGATGTAGCCATACTTGGTGATTAAATATATTACACCGTGTTTACTACCAATCTGATGAAGAAAAAACAAAAGGAAAGTGGAAAAAAGGAAAGTGAACTCCTTGTCATTGGGACACAGCACACAACCAAATGTGACCTCTGTTTTTAACCCATCACCACAGTGAACAGTGGGCAGCTTTAAGGACCAGGGGAGCAGTGCGTGGGGACGCTGCCATGCTCAGAGCACCTCAGCGGAAACTTGGCAGCTGGTGGACTCAAACCAGAAACCTTCCGGACTCAAGTCCGCTTCCTTACCACTAAGCCACCACTTCCCTTGGGTGTGTATGTGAATTACTCAGAAGTCCTCCTTAACGCATGCAAAATCTCATGAAGTTTAAAGGTCACTTCTCACCTGCATCGCTACAGGAAAGTCTGTCTGGGCCTCAGGTGGGAAAAACACATCGACAGCTTTCTTTGAGAAAGGCTGGTTTCCTGCAGGTGGCTGACCCACTTCAATGATGTGAAGCTAAAAGAGGAATGAGAATAAGATAAGGCAAACGCACACTTTGAGAAGAAAACATTCCTTCTTCTCAATCAAAAGACTCACCTTCCCTCCAGCCTGAGAGCGCACAGCAAAGCAGAACAAAGTGGAGGGTTTGGTATTTCCTTCCAATTTAAACTCTCCAAAGGTGGCAGCATGACCTTCGATTGGCTGCGACACTTTTCTATCAACAGAGTAAAGTTGCATCGCCCCAACTACTCGACTTTGCTGAAAAATAAAAAGAGAATAAACACTCAAGAAAATTCGAGGTGAATCTATTATAAACGCTGCTCTCAGTCAGATACCACAAGCTCAATATCCTCAGCAGGTATTACTAATCTGGGCCTCACTTTCAAGTATTCAGAATCAGTACAAGTAAGTATTAGTAGTAGCTTTTTTATACTGAAACCTGGCACAGTTGCAAAAATGAAAAAGTGCACAGTCAAAGTAATGTCCATATCCTCAGCACCTTTCCTTCAGACACACTCATCAAAAAAAAAAAGGAAGCACATACTCTGTGCTCTACTGGCTGCGTTTATTCTTCCACATCATTATTGTGTAAATGACCGTAAGAAACACCACGCAGCACCTTCTGTCGAACCTTCTGACCGACAGATTACATTCGACAACAACAAAGAAGGAACATCCGTCTGTGATGTGGTGACTTCTAAGTATTATACATTAAAAATTATTAGTCCCTTGTTCCTCTCACATTGGGAGAATTCAAAGTCTTTGCAACCAACACAGGCGGCCAAGGCGAGGCGCCATTAAGTATATGGTTCCTCTGGGGCTCGAACCCAGGACTTACTGTGTGTAAGGCAGCTGTGTAAGGCAGGTGTAATGACGTCATTTAAACAAAAGACAAAAGCGTTGATTGTTGATTGATTTAGAGAACGATTCCTCCTGAGCCTTGTTTGAACTTGTTTGAAAGTAGAAGAATAGGATTTTGAAGCTGAAATACAGTGTAAACCCCTTCAGATATGGACAATAAACTGCAACTCTAAAAAGTGTTCAAAAAGAGTTCAAATTTCAATAATAAAAATAGGAATTACTGTGCTCTGAAAAACAAAACACGGCACAGCTGCAGTATTTTTATTTTGACCTACTTAAAAAAAGATTACGTTCTGCCGTCAACACTTGTAGTCAAGTCTCTACAGGTTTGATTTTTACCACAATGTTTTTAAGGTTAAATTTCTGCACCACGTTCTCTGGAATGCAGCACGGATGTAACAAACTGAGTTCAAATATTCAAGGATGATATAATGTAGTTGCATTGTCTATTTGTTTTGAGAAGCACAGAACCCGGACTAAACCAGACTCTCAAGGTTCTTTAATGTTCGTGTGGCATGATGTAACACGTCCACGTGTGAGCTCAGACCTGTGCGGAGATTCCTATCAGCAGTAGCCACTTCTGTTGTTCGTCAGTTCTGTAGTTTATGATCTGACATCCTGCCAGACTGACGTGGCGATCGAATACTTTGCTTGGCTGGGAATCTCCTTCCATGCTCCAGTGGTAGACGGCTGAATCGGTCACCAGGGCAACAGTGTTCACCGAGATCCACTTCCAGAACATCACCTCCTCTGTCATGGTGTGTGCCTTCATCTTACTTTTCATCTCAATGTTAAAGATCTGCAGTGTCTTCGCAGCTGAGTGGAGGGAGAGAAATTGGAGGTTGACATCGAGCTGATTCAAATAATAAAAACACACCTAAAACATATGTTTTTAGGTGGGTTTTTTTTTGTTTGTTTGTTTTACATGTCATAAATCGCTACATTAAGTATATTAAACAACCTAAGGTTAGATTGTCAACATAAAGTGTTTAAAGAAAGAGAGCAACTTTTCTGCATGAAGAAGTCAGGATGGGCAGAAAAGTGAAAAAGTGAGAGTGGTGCAGTGAAGTGTGTGTGTGGCAGAGTGACAGATATTTTCAGATGATGTCCATGTAAAGTGACAGGTATCTAAGCAAAAAGGCAAAGACTATATGGAAGCAAGCTGGAATGACAAGTTACTGTAAGTGAGGGCTAACAGAGGGAAAGTGAGCCCAAGGAAAACCATTTAGAAAATAGTAGCACCGTCTCAAGAAGACGGCAGAGCAGGAGGTGGTTAAAGATGTCGAGTTTTACTGGGAGTTACACAGATTTACAATGTCAGAAATAACATTACCTAGGTTTGAGATGGATACACAGAGAACAGCTATTGGAGACGGAGCTGCCAGGTACATCATCCACACTGGCAACCCCCTAGTTTTTACAGTAATAACAGATGATGGTGGGGGAGGGAGCGTATGTATAAGTATATATATATATATATATAAATATATATATATATGTATACATATATATATATATTTATATATATATATATATATATGTATATATATATATATATATATGTATATATATATATATATATATGTATATATATATATATATATACATATATATATATATATATATATACATATATATATATATATATATACACAAACATATATACGCACATATATATACACACACACATATACAGTATATACACAAACATATATATGTATTTATATATTTATATACACACATTTATATATATGTATATACACACACACACATACAGGTATACAGCATATATTGTCTTGTTCTTTGTTTCTATTCCTGTGTGTTTGTATGGGGTTGTGCTGCTGTTGGAACCTTAATTTCCCAAATGAAACTCACTTCTATCGATGATGTTCAATGCTGTGATCTATAACACCAGGATAAAAAACAAATCCATATTTATCTGCATTTTTGTAAGAGCCTACTGATGGAGGATGTGAAGTGGCCATAGCAAGAGACTTATAACTATGGCTGTAATACATCAGTTACTATATAATGTAATTCATAATAATAATCAATTATATCTGTATGACATATCAGGTAGCAATACTCTGAATTCTAAAAAGAAAAGAAAAAAAATCTCCTATGACCGCCCTACTTTACTTAAGTCACACTGTGTCATCAACTACATTTATAAAAGTTGACAAAAAGCAGGCATGAAAATGTATGACATGATGGAAACAAAAACCACCATACAAACAGCTGTCAGCACAAATAGGCTTATTGGCACATACATGGGGTTTTTTTTATAGGAAGTACAACATAAATGTGACTGCTAACACAGGCTTAGCCAGGCTACCAAATGTACACAGTGTGAAAACACTGTAATGTGTAATAACACGCTCACACTCACACACACACACACACTAATGTGGCACACAAACGTTCATGCTAACAGAGGTTCATTTTTTATTCAATTTAACACTGTGTGTGTTTGCAAGTTTCTCCTTCAAACGGTTGTCTGTTTTCACTGATCTGCAGTCAAAACAGCCCTGCGCTGGCTTCATGGGAGACACATGGTTACTAAGTCATAACAGAGAGCCAGACGGGGAGACGGACAGAAGGCAAAACTCACCGTCTGAGAAAGGAGAGAAAGCAAGGGAGAAAAAAGCAAAGTGTCAATCAGGCAGATTACGACACAGCATAGGGGGAAAAAGGGTGACAACACCCTCGGAGAGGGAGGAAAAGGGGGGAGAGAGAGAGAGAGAGAGAGAGAAAAAGAGAGAGAGAGCTATTTTACAGGCAACTTGTTATAATCATCACTTGTGTTTTTGCTGTGAGGGCTACATTTGGAGACAGAAAATCAATTTACACTACCAACTCAGAATACTTAGGCGATGGTGACGATGGCACTGCACATATTTGTGGTATTGAGGAGTCATTAGTCATTAGGTGACCCAAACATTCCCATAGCAGTACTAATATATGGGTAAATTTGTTAAAAGGCAGAGAAAACAAACAGAGTGCAGACTTTATTCTGGGAATTGGAGCAGCAATAATAACCGCAGCACTTGGCATAAATCCATTTTCAGCACTAGCAGTCAGTCTGACTCAAACAAAAACGCAGCATTTCTGGTCTGAACAATTATCAACACGGTCCTACCTTTCAGGGCGATGACCTTGCTGGCAGGATTCATAATGACGCTGTCAGCAGAGATTGGTCTCCTGATCGGGTTTGTGGGGTCGGCCATGTCTATCATCACGACTTGATTCTGCTCGCCCACTTTTTCCCGGATGCAGATGAACTTGTCTGACTCCATGGTCAGATAGCTGAACCCGATGTTGGCCGGGTTCACGCCCAGGTTCTGCAACTGTACATATGGAGAGAATTGAATACAAAAAATCAACCGCATCCGTAGTTTGAATCTTTATCAGGTGGTTTGAACCAGTGTTTCCCAAACTTTTTTTCTGGGGACCAATATTTTAAAAGTCACAAACCTTCAAGACCCAAGTCAATAAACATGATGTGAGACGACCCCTAAAAAAAAAAAATCTCTTGCGACCCAGTCTTTGAGAAACAATGGGTTAGGGATTAGGGTCAATATTTTTCCAAACATGGACTTTTACAAAAGCAATTTTTGAGCGTTGTAGGTAACATAATTCTGCATATGTTACCTACAACGCTCAAAAGTTGCTTAATTAAAATTAATTCTCTCAAGTCATTTTTATAACACAAACAACAAAGATCAGCTCCTAAAACCCACCTCCGCCCCAAAAAACTAAATTAAAATATTTCTGGAGGTGAACATAATAAACAGAACAAAAAAATATAAATGTAAATGTTAGTTATGAGAAAATATTTCAACTTGGGAATTCAATGAAAATGACTTTAATGTAATAATCATGACATTACGTAACAGCTGATATTTTCTCACAGGCAAACCTAGTTATTATTTGATTAAAAAAAAAAAAATAGACATGTTTGCTCTAGTTTACCCGGAAAGTTTTTTTAAAGTTGTGATCCAGACAGGAGGTCTACTGGTACATTCTGTGGCAACAGCGTGGGCACAGGACAGAGAACACCAACAGGGCCCTGTTTGACACTCTTATTATAGCTGCTATAGCCATCTGCTGTATTTGCTGAGTCATTTTCAGAGCTGTATTTTCTTTAGGTTTTCTTTAGAAAAACCTATAACACTCTACGCCGGTAAAACTTAAAAATGCACAACATACAGTATAATCTACATTCACTAGGAAGAATCCTTCTTAACACATTTGTTTTCCAAACAAGAGAGGTCTTCAAGTCCAAATACCAAGATGATGTCAAATTCTAGCAGACTTAACATTGAGCTCCACCTAGTTCATCAGCTGCCAAACACAGAAATTCTTGTGCACACAGTTCAACTGACGGAAGAATGAAGGCATACCAAAACATGAACTCTCCCTCTGATGACTGAACTCAATGTATTATGCAGTCTGAGGTAAGCGGAGAGGAATCCTTACACTCATCATAAGGATGGTACTATCTCTCAGTTTGCTGTGCTGAAGAACAGCACAGCAAACCCAGACCACCAGGTCTTTTAAGTCAGTGTTTCCCAAAAAAAAATTCCTCGGAAACCCATATTTTAAAAGTCACAAACCTCCATGATCTAAGTCAATAGACATTATTCAAAAATTCCTGGCAAACATGATGTGAGATGACCCCAAAAAAAAAAAATCTCTTGCGACCCACCTGAGGGTCACAACCCAGTCTTTGGGAAACAATGTTTTAAGTCATGTTGACTTATAGAGCAAGAGGCAAGCAAGATTAAAGAGTGATGGGTGGATGGTGATTATCTGTTCAAGGCATGACTTTTTCATCAAGAAATTGTTGAATGAGTTAAGTCCCAATGGTGCAATTTTGCTTTGGATAATTCATTTTTAAAAACAACTTTGCACACGTCAAAGGTTTGGTTTTTATTTATTCACTTTTGTGAAAATTACCATGTTGTTATACACATGATAGAATTATAATTCTTAATCTTAATCTGTTTGTTCATTTACTAAAACTTTTATTTTGAGTAGTAATGGTATGGTTTTTTTATATACAGTCATACTTGCCTCCAGGAATTAAGTCGAAGATTTATGGCTGTCAGTTTAAATGAAAACAAATCAGAAATAACTTTAACAGCTGAGAAAAAAGTTCTGGTAATGATATATATTTTTGTGTTTTGCTGACATGCAACACAAAAGCGTTTGGAAGAGGCTACAGTAAAGTTGCAAGGGGGACTGAAAGCCACATGTTTCGTCTTCTCAAGGCTGCCAGAACCAGAAGGAGAAGGAAGATAAGGATGGGAGTGAAAGGAGGAGGAGCTGAAAACAAAGACTAGCATCCAAGCCAAAAAGGCTAAAAGAGTTGTTGTGAGGAAAAAATGGTTAAGTGATTGAAAAGAGATAAATAAGGCTTTTAAGAAAAATAAAGATTGCGGGAAGAAGGTGAGCGCTGTGCTGTAAGGTTCCAGTATCAACGTTGGCAGTTTTACAGTTCCCGGAGGAGCCATTGACTCATCATTAGACACCAATGCTTCACACCACCTCCTTCAGACACCAACGCTTGACACCACCTCCTACAGACACCAACGCTTGACACCACCTCCTTCAGACACCAATGCCTCACACCACCTCCTCCCTTCTTGGCAGAACATTTCAGACCAAAATCACACTTTAACCTAAACCTACTGTCGCCAGTGACCCACATGGGAGTCTGGTAATGAATCTTTACACGCAGACAAAGACTCTTAAATGCAGCTCTTAACTCAGCTGACACGGCTGTGACGGCAGGAGCGACACACAAACAACGGCAATGGAACTTCTTTGTTCATACACAGTTGACAGTACTTAGTGAGTGGTACGGACACTGACACGTCGCAGTATCATCGCATCAGTCTTTTTTTTTTTTCAGTCATTAATGAGCGAATGACACAACACAACAAGGAGCAAGGCACCGTCAACAGACATAAAGACTCACAACTGACAGACGTTCCATTGTGGGATTGTTTTTATTAGTCAACCAGTCATATCTGGTACATGTAGGAAATTTTTAGTCAGACAGACAGAGAAGATTTTTTTTTAACTTTTAACTTTTACAATTTACAATTTAATTTACTGTGTAAATATAAACTGAAAATATTTAGATTCAGGAGACTGTGTAAGACTCATTGGTATGTCCAGTATCATCAGTACAGTACAGTTTGGTACAGTACAGTTTGGTACAGCACAGTACAAATGACTTTTTAAAAATGTCTTGTCTTACAGCATTGTTCCCTTTAACAGAAAAGGCACCAAGAACTGATTTCTCCATATTTTCTTTTAATTTTCTCATCAGGAAACTTTGTAATAGGCTTTTTTCTTTTATATAACGTAATTTGCGTAATTTTTTTATATGCAGGGTGAGGTGAAATTGCAGCTCCCTGACATTTGCTTGGCAATTTCTCTGTACACAGGGGGCCCGGTGGCGATTATTATTTCTGCCCTTTTTCCAGCAAAAAGGTTCCAATGACCAGTGCGTTAGACTCACTGCCATGTCACCTTGACAAAGTTCTGGTTGAAACTTTTTGACATTTCAGAATTTATGAACAAAAGTAAAACCTGATAATGCTTTTTAACAGTGGGCAGACTGTGTTAATGAATTAGTGCTCTTTAAAGACTTCTGGTGATGGAACACAGACACCTCCCCCTAGACTGAGATAGAGTCTTCTGTCAACCTGCTTCCTATACTGATAGGATTTGCAGTGCGTAAATGGGGCCTGCTTACCTCATCTGCTTATCACAGCTGCTAGTCTTCCATGGAGGCATCAGTTCATCAGTACAGATATAGCAGCAGGACAGGATGCAGCAAACGGCCAGAGAGTAGCTGGTAGTCTCTGCTAACTAATGATGACCGTGTGATATTTAGGCACCTCCGATCTATGGCACTTGTACAGCATGTGCGTTCAGACCAGCAGCTACAGTACACAGAGCTCCGCACTGACAACCAGCAGAAAATCCACAAAACATTAAAATGATTCACTTCAATAAGTGCTTCTCTTTGCCCGTCCTCCTTAAGCCTCTCAAAAACAGAAAAGCTTTCAAAATGGGATACTAGGATTAAGCCTAGATTTGGATCCAATTGTCCAACTGGGACACTTGTCCGTTTGCTAAATTAAACACTGTGTGACAGGACAGCTTGGACCTTGGAAAATAAATCAAACTAGACAAACAAGCAGGCCAAAGATTAATGAAGTAGAGAGACATTGCCAAATGATTAATGACAGTTAAAGGTAAACGAGCAGTGATGGGGACTGAGCTTTTCACATTTAATAAAACCCTAGATTTATATGAAATTTAGCAAGAGAGAACCAATTTTGGGGTCAAAGGACAGCCTCAGCAGGATGCACTCTTGAACCCAGTTTTACATCGACCACATTTCGTTGTAAATACCAGGCTAAGAAAAAAAAAGCTAAACAACTTGAGGCCCAAAGACCTGGGTTGGCAAATTCCAAGCATTTTTCACTCCGCTGGAGCCACCTAGATTCACAAGGGGATACGACTAGGGTAGAGCTGAGATTTCACGCTAGATGTGGAACATAAAGCAGCAATCTGGAGCTTATCACCATCTGAGGCCGAGAGATTTTCCTAAGATGTAAACGGGAAAATGTGAGCACTCAATATAACCTAATTACCCAGACAGTTCCAGGTACGGCTCTGCCCCACATCAGTGATAAATGGGGAACAGGTCCAGTCAGTAAGCAGAGGAGCCTGACTGACTGCGAGCTCTCTCGGGCATCAGAGTTTTTGGTGGATAAAAGGCCCTTTGGCTGAGGAAAGAGGGGCTGTTGGACAGAGGGGGTGAAGGGGGTCAGCGCTTTTTTTCTTCCCCAAGTGAAAGGCCATTTCACTGCTTGCTGTTGCCATAACAACAGGCTACAGACAAGAGGAGACAGGGTGACACAAAGTTTCTCCTTTGGCTGCAAGAATCCAAGCTGTGAGGCTACTGTGGGGCAATTATCAAAGACCAGATCAAGGCACTAAGGAGGGCTTTAGTACAAAATAGTTCCTCAACAGAAAACTTAATCACTGTTCTTTTTTCATTTGTCATTTACTGTCAAATTAATTCTCTGTTGTTTCATACAATTCGTAGCTGTGCCAAAACCCACAATGCCTTGACTACTTCTCCCTGACTCTCTGAAGCAGATAATGATGATGAGTTTAAAGATGGGCAGATGTTTGGGGGGCATGAGAATGAGTTTGCAGAGCACATTGTCTTCCAAGCAGATGGTGCAGCAAAATGTCAACATCACCGGGCAAAATACTAAACCGCAAACTACTCATAAGTTTTAAGCAATCAGTGTTTAAATATGTGTGACTAAAACAAGGAAAATATCATCAATCTTATTTAAGATATTGAGATATTTTAGGATGATGGCTATGGAAGTTTCTACAAATAGCAGGACGTTTGTGGGATATGATGTTACTTCTCCTTTTCTTTATAAGTTTCATCTGCCAGACTTCTGGAATTTAACATGTGATCAGTTTTGCAGGTTCCAATTACTTTTAGAGGAATTGAGCGCAAGATCTATTCGATTGGAATTTCTTTTCTTTCTTTCTTTTTAAGCATGATTAGAAAATGGCTTGACAACAACCAAATACTTCAGAACCCTGAAACCATTTAGTCGTAGGGGCACCAGATTTACCAACACTTCAAATCAAGTTAAATCAAGTGAAGATCTTTGCAGTGACCATACGCTAGTTTTTATCCTGGTCAACATCTGGGGTCGGGACTTAATCCCATCAGTCACGGAGTTCTGGTGTGGCACAATCTAGACAGTTCACCAGGTGTTTTTGGACTGTGGTTGAAGCCACAGTAATGAGAAGAAAAAAAACCACTTGTACACAACAACACATACTCCATAGACCAGAAAGACAACCACGGCTTGAACTGGGAAGGTCTTTGCTGTAAGGCAAGAGCACTAACCACCCCATTGTGTGACACCCAACCCCCAGTCCCAAAAATCTCTTTCAGACAAACTTTCAACAACAGAGTCAAATTTGGACAGACAAACACTGTGAAAAAGGTAATATATAACATTGTCTTGCACATATTTATTTACAAATGTGCGGAGGAATAACTCACCCACTCCTTTCTGTGTCAGATGAGACAGTATTTAAAATGAGTCCTGAACTTAACAACGTACAGTCTGACTAATATAAGTTCAATCACAAAAACTGCAGGTCACTAATGCAAATGGGTTTTATATATGTATGAAGACATTATGTACTGTATATATGTATGGAGACAGTTTGACATCTGAATGATACTGATGTATGACAGTTACGTATTCGGGGTAGTATTGAGACAGGGCATTACATTAAAGCCCCGCGTTGTTATTATTTGTGTTGGTGAAGGTTAAAAAGTAAAGTCGCGTTGCTGCAGGACATCCGTTATCAAGTGTCCTTCAGGTCCTACACACCAGAGCTCATAATTGTCTACAACATGTCCCAGCACTGCGGTCTGTGCCGGCAAATGACAGCGGCGTCTTTTCCCACACGAAGTGTAGTAAAAGCGCTACGGCGTTTAAAGACAACACAACACAGAGACAGTCCACAGTCCAGCCGTGTACCATCTCAATTTTTACAAGTCATCATCTGCCGGCAGCAGTAGGCAGGCCTGCTGTAGCTATATTGAGCACCACCCCGCAGACCTATTTAAGATTCCGTTTAAATGTGTCGTGAGTCTGCGCCGCTACATGTTCGTACATCTGTCCCGAAAAAAAAAAAAACTAAACACAGCGGGTTTGTTGAAGGTTTACCCGAGGTTGTCCTTACCTGCAGATGTTCCTGGAATCGTATGGGTAGTATCTGAGCCATTTTTAATGGTTTTGTCAGTCTGGAGGATCCGTAAGGAAGGAGAGGGGAAAGGGGACAGCAGGAGGAGAATGAAGGTAGCGGTGGCTCTCGTCCGTTTGTGCCGTGGAACGTCCCTAAAAGTCAGGAATGATGGGCAGCAGTGTGTGGTCAGTGTAGCCCGCTTTGACACCGCACTAATCTAGTGACTGCTCCCATTCACCCGCCCCGCTACACCAATCCTGGAGTAACAACTCCGCGCCTCCGCTAAGAAAACTAGTCCAGCTAAACTACACACTACAGCTCCGTGTTTTTACCCACCTCCCCCTCGAGACGTCTACGAACACGAGTCGGTTTTATAGAAAAAAATAAAATAAAGTGCTGACTAAGAGTAAGTGGTGAGTTGACAAAAAAAAGCTGCTGTCGAGAGGTTTGTTTTCCCTTCTCAGGGCTGTCACAGAGTACGAGTGTGCGGCGTGTACTCTTCCGCCGCAGCCCCTTCCCCCCTTTTCTTTCCACAAACTTCAAAATCACGGTTCGTGACGTGTGAGCCCCACCTTTCTACACTGTGTCTTCACGATCCCACCCGCACACGCACACGCACACGCACGTTCGTATTTCAAAATAGTGTGTGGTTGTAGAAGAGGCTACAGAGATGAGAAGTGATATTCACCCTCTATCGGTGCTCTCTCACCTATGGCCCTCTATCACTCTATCATCAGTATTTCCATCATCATCGACATCGTCATCTTCATCATCATCATTATAGTCATCATCACAGCCATTATGATTCCTTGGTAGAAAGTTGGAAGTGCTTTAAACTTAGCTTGGGGTACTTTAAGAAAACCCAACAACAAAAGAACAAATGTTAGATTATATACACAAAAAAATGACATTACCATGAACAATGTTTGACTCAAATACTCTTCAGTCGTGTACTGCACTGTATGTGGTATTTGTATGTGATATATTTAAGTCTTTGTATGTTGAGCTATTGTTTCTGTCAAAGAAAAAGGAAAAATATAAAAATTTACAGGACGAGAAGATAAAGTAAAATTACCTACAGGTGGCGCTAATACAACAAAGGATTGTCAAGTTTCAAAAGAAAGAAAAATCAGACTTTGATCCTTTGAAGGATCCTATGGGAGATCTCTATAGTTAATGACAAATCTTAACATTTTTACATAGCAGATTTTTTTTTCTTTCTTATTCCCACGAGAAATGCATCCAAATAAACAATGACTTCATTTAGCGCAACAGTTCAGAGAAAAGAGGAAACAAAAGGACGTAAGCATTATTGGGAACCGAGTGACAAAGTTCACAGCCATATTTCCTTACAACATTGAATTCTACTGAGTTTGCATGATACAGTTAAGTTAACTGGAAGATGTCAGTCAACTTAACAACAAAAAGTTATATCACACGGTTGGTAAAGATTACCATTAACAATAATCTTTTTTTGTTGTCGAATTTATATTACAGTTTACAATTCAAAGCAAATCCCATTTATTAAAGTGATGGTATTTTTAGGTTATCATCAAACATAAATAGAGCAGTTTTCCACTATAGTTCCACTAACTTAAACTTTCACGTTGTGGCCACAAGGTGGTTTGGTGATCCTAAACGCTTTTTCTAAGGACCCATATTTTAAAAGTCGTAAATTCGTAAACTCCTGGGAAAAATGATGTGAGACGAAAAAAATCTCTTGTGACCCACCTGAGGGTCGCGACCCAGTCTTTGGGAAACAGTGGCTGGTTGAAATAAAGATCATTATTCAAACTAAACAACAACAACAACAAAGGCATATATATTGTAACAAAACACCATGTATTGGACTTTAAAGTAACCCCAAAAAAAGGTCTGAATGACAAGTCTGTATGCATCAAATTACATTAGGGTGAGAATCCTGTGTAATCACCGGCCTGTCATCCCAGTTGACATGGTTAATGCAGTAACCAGGATACAAAATGTCCCACACCCACCTGCCAAATTACATTTGCTCCAGGAAGTTATTTAGTCCTCATTTACACCACAATGCAAATACAGCAGCGCTCTGAAATCTTTGTCATGATACCATCGGACTGAGTTAAAAATACCAGCTATTAAAATAACAACGGAACAAAAACCATACAGAAAGAGTCTTCCATTAGCGTGACTGTTAATATTCAGGATATTGTTTGGTTTTTGACTCGTGCTTAAAGGTCAGATTTACCACAGGCTCTGGTATTCTGGCACATCTGATATTTATGGTTTGGCCCCAGAGGAGGTGGTCTCACCCTGACAGGAAGGAGCTGAAACCACCAAGGTCTGGTCTGTGGACACTGGCAGACACACACACACACACAATAGTGTCTTCTTGTCTCCTGGTGAAAACCATAATCCCACATTTTACCACATTCTCACTGGTAAGTCAACGGCAAGAAGTGGTGGAGCTCTGGCACCAAACGTACAATAAATGAACCCTTTAAATAAAACACCAGATGGCTGTCCTGCATCTGTCAGCAGGACAGAAATTGATTGTTGGTTACTGGTTAAGAGCAGAAAATATAGAGGGGGGGGGGAAAAGCTGCGGTAGTAGAAGCTAAATAAATAAGGTGTAAAGAAGATACTACAGTTACGGTTACAGCAATTCACAACCTAAACCACACGAGGTCTGTTCAAAATACCAAAGTATCCCAAAGTGTCCGCAGTGATGGAAACAAGTAGAACGCATAATAATAACAGTGAACATCAAAGCTGATAACTGCAGAGCAAACAGGATTTTGTTTGCAAAACAGTGTGTGTGTGTGTGTGCCTGGTGTAGCTATACTTGTGGTAACAGTGGGTTTTTTGTTGTTTTTTTTTTGTCCTTTTTGGGAGAAAAAAGCAGGACCTAGTTTATTTGGACTCAAGATTCAGGTTTGTAGTCAGGATTAGGATTGGAGTCAGATTATATTGAACAAATGTCTAATCTAGGGCAAAAAAATTAAAACAAATCATTGGATGTGCGTGTGTGTGCATTTTGCAAGTCAGCAAAAAAAAAAACAACTGTCAATGTTACTGTAAAAAAGTGACACATCTTCCCTCCCTGCTGACCTTGTGCAAATGTCGTACAACTGCATGACTCACTAAGCAAATCAGAGGAAAATGTTTTGTGAAAATACGGGACATTTGGTTCTCACGAGTTTTGATGTATAAGACACGAGTTTTCTTTCTTTTTTTTGCCTTTTCCTTTTTTTTTTAGAATTTTATTGTCTCGATCTCAAACAATGTTACAGAGCGTTTGTAGTGGAATTAAAATGCAGTTTTATATGTATTCCCACCTGCCTGTCTGTGGTCATATCCAATCAGAAACACCACCAGTAGTTAGTACTTCTTGTTAATAGTTAGACAAAAAAAATCAATGGATTTGGATTATTTAAATTATTGGGGATATGATATTCCGGTCGGTTTCATAGTGTGGCGGTTAGCATACCTGTATCAGAGGCAGAGAGCAAACAGTCCTGGGTTTGATTCCCAGAGGAACCACAGGGGGCGCCTGCAGACAGCAGCCGGTTGCAGCAGATCTGCTGTTAACACTAGAATTTCCCAAATATGGTGTCAATAAAGTTCAAATTTTTCAATGATTATTATTATTGATTATTGTGATGAAAACCACAAACTTTTAGAGAAATGTTTACTGACTTTGTAAATGAGAAGACTTCTCTTTATACTGGTCTTAGATTACGGTTACTGATATTGTATATGTTTTTTGTGTTCAGGCAGTGCTTTGGTCTTAACTTAAACTATTTTATGTCCTAAAACTAAATCAAGCTTTTATGATTTAAGGTATATACAGAAAAAAAAACAATCTGTAGTCATGTAGTTTAGGTGTGTGTAGGGTGAGTCAGATATGCAGCATGCTTAGTCTGAGTAATGCTGTCAATCAGAAGCAGTTGGTTACTTCTGTGGTGAGAAATCATCTCGTCCAGAGAGGTGAACATCTGAGGGACAAGGAGAGACAAAAGACAAATTAAACCATGTAAGAATACTTGTGTTTTTTTTACATTCTGTCTCAGCCTTTGTTCACACTCACCTCTTCATTTTTCTTGCCCTCTTTCCCAAGAGCGTAGCTGTGGGTCTCCTCCAGGAAGCGGATTGGAATGTTAAAAACCCTCTGCTGGAAGAGCACAGCCAGGGTGAAGGGCTGACGAGGGCTCTGGGCTGAGCTATAGCGGATGAGAAAGGCACCGTCCTTCAACAGGGGAAAAAAAAGAAGTTCAATTTACATGTAGAACATATACTGTAAATAAAAACACCTGAAGAGAGACCGGACAGTTTTTTTTTTTTTACCTTGTTAACGCTCATTAAAAGTTCCTCTGCTGTCTTTCTGTTGCAGTCTCCTGCAAACCATTCTCTGCCCTGGGAAGAAAACAAACTTATTCATCACTTAGTGAATAAACATGTGAACATTACAATTAAATCATGTACTGAACTACAGGACATATTTAAGCGGATTATTCCTTTTAATGTGTTCCTTTATATATAAACTATTCTCTTCGAAATAAAAAGACAATTAACATTAACCAATAATGTTAATTAATATTAACATTAAAGATATGATGATATGAGTAGGTTGTATAGTCAGTCATGACCATTAATTAGACATTCATATATTTCACAAAACTTAATTCTTTCATATTTAGTTAACTTTCACTGGGTCACCAGAAAGCACATGGTTAAACTAAATAAAAGGATGGGTCACGTCTCAGGAAGGAAGGGAGGGAGGGAAGAAAGAAGGATGGATTGAAGGAAGGAAGGGAGGAAGGGAGGGAGAAAGGATGAAAGAAAGAAATGGTAGAAGGACGGAAGGAAGGAAGGAAGGAAGGAAGGAAAGAAGAAAAGAAGGGAGGGAAGAAGGATGGAAGGAAGGAATGGTAGAAGGAAGGAAGGAAGGCATGGAGGAAGAGAGGAAGGAAGGAATGGTAGGATGAAGGAAGGGAGAAAGGATGAAAGAAATGGTAGAAGGATGGATGGAAGGGAGGAAGGAAGAGAGGGAGGAAGAATGGAAGGAAGGAATGGTAGAACGAAGGAAGAGAAGAAGGATGGGAGAAAGAAATGGTAGAAGGAAGGAAGGAAGGGAGGAAGGGAGGAAGGGAGGGAGGAAGAAATGGTAGAAGGAAGAAAGTTAGGAAGAGAGGGAGGAAAAGAGGAAGGAAGGGATGAAGGAAGGAAGGGAGGAAGGGAGGGTGGAAGAAATAGAGAAAGGATAGAACAAATGAAGGAAAGAAGGAAGGAAGGAATGGTAAAAGGAAGGAAGGTGGGGAGAAAGAGAGGAAGTCAGGGATGAAGGACAAGGAACATTGACCTCTTTATCAGTCTGTTTGATCCCTTTTGTTCCAGAGCTCCATCCTGAAGTGGAAGAAAATGTCAAGAACATTACTGTGGTGATACTGAGGTAAAAATGAAGTGTAAGGATTTGATTTTTATCAAGTGAAGAATTGAAACAGTATCTGATCACAGTTATCCAGTGAAGCAGCCTACCCACAGACTTGGCTCCTGAAGTCGAAGGGCTTAAAGGAATGGAGGAAAAACAATCCAATCGTTAGTTGACTAAACATCAGCTCTACAAAATGTATTCTTCTAGTCTTACTGTACCCGGATATGGCTTCTCTCAGATTTCCCAGCAAAAGAGGCTTCACACTCGGGCTTGGTGGAGGCAGTTTGGCGTGTCTCACTTCAACTGACTCTGAAGGCAAGAAAGAACTCTGGGGGAAGATTTTTGTAATTATTATTATTCCGTGCACCATGTGGAGGAAAAGAAACTGCAGAGTGAAATTCTGGAACTGGATTCACAGACACTCACAGACTTGGCTTTAGGAAGAGGGGGCTTCATCCTTCAGGTGGAAAATAAATATTTGTTTTGATTACATGTTCCAGGAGTCGAAGAAAAAGAACAAACTTATATTGGTCTTCAGCCAGGGTACGGTGCACTTACATGGACACAGGAGCTTGAATAGCTGCTGTCTTCGATGAAAGCGGTGTTCTTATTGGTAAACGTGGGGCTGAAGAGCAAGCTGGGAAAAAAATTAAATTTCTGAATCCATCATTCATCCATCCATCCATCCATCATCTATCCATCATCCATCATCCATCATCCATCATCTATCTATCCATCATCCATCCATCATCCATCATCTATCTATCCATCATCCATCCATCATCCATCATCTATCTATCCATCCATCATCCATCATCCATCATCCATCATCCATCATCCATCATCCATCATCCATCATCCATCATCCATCATCCATCATCCATCATCCATCATCCATCATCCATCATCCATCATCCATCATCCATCATCCATCATCCATCATCCATCATCCATCATCCATCATCCATCATCCATCATCCATCATCCATCATCCATCATCCATCATCCATCATCCATCATCCATCATCCATCATCCATCATCCATCATCCATCATCCATCATCCATCATCCATCATCCATCATCCATCATCCATCAAAATAACAGACCTGCGTCTGGTTCCAAATACAGCTCATCAACTTCGTCCTGTAATGCAAAATGGCACCTATCTTTAGAAAGATGCATGGGTGGTAGAGTGTGTGTGTGAATGTAAACATGTGGGTAGATGGTGGGATTATTGGATATGCAGAAGGGATGTTCGATAACATATTAGCGGCCAGATATTAGCTTTCAGATATTATGATATCCAGATATATTATACAATGCCTGCGTTTAGCCAAATACACTTGTAGGGTCTACCTCAGTTTTGGGGTCAAACAGCTGCATATATCGGTATCGGTCGATATTGGTAATGGAAATTAAGTGTTTGGACAATATCGAAATGTTAATATCGGACATCCCTAACAGACAGGGGACGTCATTCTTTCCAGCCATTAAAATAACTGGAAAAAAACTTTTTTCCTTTGTACTTGAAGCCTCTCACCTGTTCTTGGTTAGGATCCAAATAAACATCTGAAACAGAGAGAGAAAGCGTTTAATATTTTTATACAAGTGGAAATTAGCTTAGTACAGCTGATCAGTTAAACATACGCATGTCAAATGTATATAGTCTGAGGCCAATCAAGAAAACCTCACATTTTCAATTTACAATTTACAATTCAAGAAAACCCGATAATGCAATGCCTGGGTTTAGCCAAATGATGTGTGCTCTAGAAATAGTTTTGGGGATAAACAACTGTATATTCAAGTGAATGTCACTAGGTGGCAGCATTGCATCTAATTTAATTAACATATGTATCTTAAATGCATATATAGTCTGAGGCCAAATATGTTCAAGAGCAAGAAAGACAAGTGTTTAAAAACCAGCTTTTAATCTAAAAATGTCGAATGATGAGTTCACCTTCTTCTGCTTCGGTGACAGTGACTGGAGGAGTGACAGACCGTACTCGTGGTGTTGGCATCATCTTGCTTCTACCTGGTCTCTGACTCCTGTCAATATCAGGTGCTGTCACGGCGTGAGTCCGAGTCATTTTAACAGAGAACATGAACATTTGAAAGAGGTAATTTGAGACCAAATGAAGAAAATCGACAAAGACGACAGACTCACGGGTTCTACTGTTGTTGTCACAGCTGAGGAGCTCAGAGCTGTGTTGAGGCTTCTGAGGAGTTAAATATGACAGCAGTCAAATGTCTGAAGCAGATGATGAGCCGCAGCCTTAAAGGCTATTTCATTTATGCAATCTAAAACAAACACGCTGCTTGTCAGGTGTCAGGTGACCCACAGGCCCTACATTAGGCTGCCAGGAAGTGTTACCAAAGTTTTTGCCGGTCTGGGTGGAGGAATTCTCTGTGGAATCTCAGGTCTGGTCGTTCTGTCTGCAAATGCAAAGTTTTTTGTTGTTTTTATTGTCAGTGTATCTGTGTCCAGCTGAGATTGATGATGTAAATGTTGAGTTTTTCCTGCTGCTAGTGGTTCAGTGCACTTCTGTTACCTAGATAAAGAGTCTCCTCCACCATCTTCTGTGGAGCTTTCAACGCCAGCTCACAAGGTGGTGGCTCATACATGTCCGCTTCCTCGTCTTCCTGCTGTTGTTGAAAGGAAATGTGAGGTCAGTTTAGGATAGCAGTGGTTCTCAATTATTTTCTGTCATGCCCCACCTTGAGGACAGAATTGTTTTCACGTCCTGCACTCTCCTTGGACCCACATCCCAACATGTATATGATAACATGTATATTTTTATCTGTACAAACCACTGTGTGAGTTGCTGCCACCTAGTGACTGGAGGCTTGTTATCATTCAAGTATTACAGCAGTGGTACATTTATGTCGATATGTGTGCCATATTCTATTGGAAACAACTCACGGCCTCCCCTGCTGCACTTCACCGTGCCGCCCCCCAAGGGCCCCGCCCCACTATTTGAGAAGTACTAGTTCATAGGAAGGTGAAGTAGGACTTCAGCTAGAACATCAGCAGTCAGAGGGTCTGGCCTAATATCTGGGAGCCACAGGTTAAAATCCAGTCCTATCAGCCGAGCGATATTATCGGCCCGGTATCAGCATATTATGTAATATATGTTATATCTGTACAAATATCTCTATCAGAATCATTATCGCTTTTGCTCCCATAATAAAAACCCGACAACGCAATGCCTGGGTTTTGCCAAATGATCTGTGATCTAAAAAATAGTTTTGGGGATAAACGCCTGTATATTAAATTAAAGTCACTAGAGGGCAGCATTGTAGCTCATCAAATTAATCTCATTTTCATACAGTGGTTTGTACAGATAAATAAATAAAAATTACCAGGCCTATATGGGTATCGGTTGATATCGGAATCAGAAAATAGTGTTTGGAAAATATTGCCATATTGAATATCAGCAAAAAGTTGATTTCGGACATCCTTAGTGTTGATGTATCAATACTCACAGTATTGAAAACGATTACGCTCATACAGTATCAATAGTTATTAATACATGGAAAAAGCACGTCTAAATTCCACATATGTTAGGGTAACTCACTACATACAGGCTTTTAACAGATCTGTGTGTACAAATATTAGGTGTAAATGTTTCTTAAATAAGAAATTTGGAAAAACATAGAAAGTGGTTTTCTTGTATTGCACTTGTAATAATATTTTGAGCATTGTGAAGATTTTAAGATTAGATTTAAAAAAAAAATTCTCTGAATAAAATACAAAAATTCTAACTAAATATATTTAATTTATCATTATACTATTCTTGTATTCATTTCACTTTTCACTACTTACAAATTCTTCCTTGGGCCACTCAAACCCAGCATTGTTGTCTGAAACTGTTGTAAAGAAAATGAAACCTGGTCAGTGGTTCAGTGGTGAAACACAGAGACCATTTTTAACTCCATTCTCTGGTGGGTTCGTTTCTCACCTCCTCTTCTGGGGGGCAGCGGAGGTCCACTCTGTCTGAGGGAACAGCAGATAATTAATTGTATTTTATTTGAAAAATATATCAAAGTAAATATATGTTTAAATAAAAATCAGTTGAGTGACTGCACTTACAGGTTTTTCAGTTTTCCAAAGAGGCTCTGATGAATATAAAAAGCACAGATTGATATAATAAAATTAATAATAACAATAATAATAATAAAAATAATATTAATACTAATAATAAAAATAATAATAATGATAATGATAAAAACAATGATGATAATAATAATAATAGTAATAATAATGATAATGATTATAATCATCATCGTCAACATCATATCAATAATAATTTTAAGTCACTCTGTGTAAGAATACATTATTCACAGTTCTTATCTTTTTAGCACTGCTCTTGTTATAAGTAGGAAGTAAAGCAGTGAGGGAACTACACCAGGTCAGTGCCGACTACCTGACAGACAAAAATGCTATTGATCTGATCTGAATGCAGAGCAGATGAGAGAATCGATAACGGATCATCGTGCGGTTGGTGTGAAACAACAATCTGGTCTCAGTCCGTTGAGCTAAAAATAATTTTGCAGAACTCAGATCAGGTAACACAGACAGGGTGCAGCTCAGCGTTAACAAGGGATCGCTTCAGGTTGGCGTGTTCACAGGTGAGGAAGTTGTCAAAATAATTTTACAGAAGGAAACGTGAGAAACTGTGACAATAAAAACTGAAAACTAAGACAAACACAGCAAATCAGTTTCACTGGTTCGACTGGTCACAGAGTTTTACACAGCACAACAGCATGTAAGGTTACATCTTATGAGTGGGAACCTGTTCCACTCACAACAACAATGTGTTAATGATAAACTAAAGAGAAACCTTTTTTCAGATTTACCTTGGTAACAGACTAAGAATTTGTTTTAATGTTTAACAGCAGGAACGGACAAACTGTACAATGACATCACATTACTTTTCTGAATGTTGCCCAGCGAGTAATACATTCTAAAAATCTGCAGGAAATACATGTAAGAATCCTACTACTATTACCTTCATTTTATCACAAATACAAAATGTTAAATAAAGTCTATAAAGTGGTGTATGACATTAATATAGTCAAACAAATCAAACTATAGAAAAATTATTTCTGCTTAAAAAGATTACAGAATGTAAAAAAAATCAGTAATTTGTCCATCAAAATGTTTACGTTTTACCAAAAAAATAAAACATAAATTGGATTACATCTGTGCCAGAATAAAGTACCTGAAGACACCTAAACAACATGTACTTTTTAACTTTAACTTTGTTCAGATTCAAAATTCCCAAGTACGAAAATTCTGGAATGACACACGCCGCCATCAAAAGCTGCTCACTTCCTGCTCTACTCAACTCAAAGGGAACAAACTAAAACACACAAACGTGTGGCCATATTGGAAAAGTTACTCACCATTCTCACAGGTGTTAGGTTTGTCTTACAGTCTAAGTTATGTGGTCCGTGTCTCTGATTAGGTTCTTGTAGGCAAACAGTTCTCTGGAGATAAGAAGAGGACCATACAGAGAGAACGTGAGCGTCAGCTCTGACTGATCTGATTTGCATTTCCTACCTGGGCTAAATTCACCTGCTGCTGCTGCTACTGCTGCGCTGCTGCTACTGCTGCTGCTGCTGCATAAACATTTACATCTACATTTTTAATCAGAATGTTTTTAAAAATAGAAAAAAAAAATTGAAATACCTTAAAATGTTTTTTTCTTTTTTG